TCTATCACATTCAAATCCGGGGATTTAGCTGGCCACTTCAACGTCTCAAGGTTGGGTTGTGCAGCCAGCCAATCCTGAACCATTCTTGCTCTATGCACACCTGAATTATCTTGAACGAAAGAAACGTACGGTACGTCAGGAAATGTCTCCGCAACGTATTCATCACATCGGACAAAATGTGAATGTATTCCTCACTGTTTATATGCGGTGTAGTACGCACTAATGGTCCAGGACCACGTGAGGACATACATCCCCAAAATGCCAATGTGATGCGGCCAGATCGTTGGCGAAAACGAATATTTTTTTCTGCGTACCTCGTTCCTCTCGTTCTCCACAATAATACACGCCCGGATTTATCCGTCGAAAATACCTTTTCATCCAAAAAAATTGTACTTCTCCATTCATCCTCCCATGCTAACTGTTCTAAGGCAAAAGCCATCCGTTGCTCTTTGTAGTGCTCAGTAAATCGTTCCTTTTGAGCCGGCGAACGATGAAAAAGCCACTTTCTCGCCACCTACGCCTTACGGTAAATACAGAGCAATTTAAATTAGCTTCTGCTAATGCTCGTGGTGCTGTCCTAAAGCCGGTTTCTTGAACAAGATTGATCAGACGTTGACCTTCTTCGGCCATTGTGCACCGAGGACGTCCAGTAATTGAGCGAGGATTTATATTCCCTTCTGCCTGTAATTGTCGCACTATTCTGTATACTGTGCTTCTCTGCAATATAATTAATACATATTTTAAAAATTATTACAGCAAACATCAACTAACAGTCTATATTTTTTTTAACAAATCTTATAGTTTTTTTTCAATACACTACATAAATTATATACAAGTATTACATTATACATTTTTATATATAGTTTATAGATACATATTTTTTAAACTTAGAATTATATTGAATAGTTATGTCTATTAGTTTGTTTTTTTAATTTTTAAATATAATGATATATACACATTTTATTTTTTATTATATGGCTATACAAGTATCTTACATTAACGTTACA